TGGGTGGAGTGGAAACCTAAGACCGGCCTTAATTGAATCAAAGTGGACCACTACCATCCCAGGGAAATGACGCATTGGGTGAAGCCCGGCCTGGAGTCGGAAATCCACCGAGTCCGGGATCATCATTTGGATTTGGGCCCTATTTTGGGCCGTAAGTTTTTGACGCATCAGCCTAATTAGGGCTAGGTCAAGCTTATGGCAAGACACGCCGCTTGGGGGACCAGCTTCCATGGCCTCCATTTCACCCCCGGATTTGGTACCATCGGGATAAGTTCCGGATGAAGAGGCATCGTCGTGGGGGATCTCCGCCGGGATAGGAGTGACCTCCAGTGCCAGGCTAGGAGTATTCTCAGGGAGATCAACGTTTGAAGTAGAACACTCGGAGGGACGAAGACGGGTTGCCATACCGATCGAACAAGGAGGATAGAAGAAAAACAAGGCCAGAAAGTACCTGAGCGAGAACTAAGGGATAGCTCTGGAGAGAAGGATGAATGGTAAGCCGGAGATGCAAAGTTTCGAAACCCAGAATCAAAACCAGAAGAGCCTATTTATACTCTGTCACGCCGATTCAGCTGCCAATCAGAAGAGGACACGTTTTTTGTAATGATGACAGAGACACGTGTCACGCAGAGAATCCTTCTCAGGTAATCATGGCGTTTATCGGAGAAGTGAAACGGCAGTTGCAAATAACCGTCAAAATATGCCTCGGGAACCGGCGGAATACCATCCGATACTCACCCGAACAGCATTCGGGCAATAATTTTCTACTTCCTTATGCACTCACTACCGTTCGAGACATAGGAAGTGGGGGACTAGTGTTGGGATATTGGGTCCGGGCCCAATATCCCTAGGCCCAAATCCAGGAAGAAGCAGCGGGCCCAAGGCAGTCCAAAAGAACTCCCGAACGGCATTCGGGATAAAACTTATACTTGGAACATTCCGGGAAACAATTGTGCCAAATCATCAAGGCCATGTATCGATCAGCGTTCGGGACACTTCCATTAACTAGATCACCTATGATGAGATACCGATCGGCGTTCGGGATATGTTCCAAAGCAGGATAACACCTATGACGGGGTCCCACACACCGAACACCCTGCCCGAACGGGCAATCATCAAGTGGAAGCCGCATTTAATGCTGGATCATGGCAGCAGCAAGTGGGGGCATGGGTGCTTACATGGCAGAGGTGATAGCCTACCAGATTCGACCACGTGTCCACCTTACCCATCCCCATTTTAGTATAAATATCCATGTTTAGATCATTGTAAAGGGTTAGCATTTTAATACTCAGAGCTTAAGCAATAGATTTACATCTCCCACCCTTGTAATCTCGTATTCAGCTACCGTTCGGGTAGTTTCAGTGTAATTGCTTAATTACTGAATATAAGTAAGTTCTTGAGTTGAATATTACCTCACTATTTTATATTTTATACACATTTTCAACCTTACCCCAGATCCCCACAATATCCAAGGCTTGTGTTGGACTTTCGGATCTTCGGGAATAAACCTCAACAACTGTATTGGCTGAAGTTACCAATACAGCCACTTCAGCCACAACTTCATAAATTTCAGCATAATCAGTCAATACAACCAATTTTAGTGTTACCAAACGGGCTCAAAATTATAGGAGTATACTAATACCATATACCTAAATTGTATTAATTTTAGAATCAAATCATATCGTGTATTAACACATTTGGCAACTTCTTAGTTGTATTAATATTTATTTATTCAAAAGCTTACAAGGCGCAACTGGAGAACCATAATTTTGTGGGGTGAAGAAACATATATTTAAGGGAAAACTGTCAAATAGGTACTCAAACTTTAATAAAAAGTCAATTAAGTCCTATAAGAGACTGTCCGGTCGTCGCGATTTGGGGCGGTTCCCAATGGAATTTTTTGATGAATTTTTTTGATCATCTTATTCCTCAAGTTTAGTTTACTCATACCAAATTTCAGCTAAAAATTTAATCGGGAGTGCATTCAAATTAATTCGAGAACGCAAAAATGCGCAGTTATCTTCAAGAATTAATTTGAATGTGTTCTCGATTGAATTATTAGCTGAAATTTGGTATGAGTAAACTAGACTTAGTGAATAAGATGCTCAAAAAATTTCATCAAAAAATTCCACCGGGAACTGCCGCAAATCGCGACGGCCGGACAGAACCTCCTATAGAAGGACTTAATTGACCTTTTTATGAAAGTTCGAGGACCTATTTGACAGTTTTCCCCAATTTAATGAAGGCAAGACACTTTGGGGGTGTTTCGAAAATGGGGTTTCATCCAAGAAATGGTTGTTTGATCCCTTCTAGTGTTTTCAATAAGTGAAACGTTATTTGATAAATACATGTTCGGTCCTAGCGTTTTTGAACAGAACCGCTGATATGAAATGATACAAATATGACAACCCGCCAACTTATTTCACCAGTCAAATCTGCTGACTAAATTCGATATTGACAATCTACTACTACCTCGGTCCCCCTAAGTTTGGGACAAAGAAGTGTGGTGTGGTTTTTAAAAAAAAAGTAGAATTGTGTGGTTGTTATTGAATTGATAAAGTGTGAATTAGGGGTGGGATTTTGGAACCGGGAACCGTAGAACCGATTGGAACCGAACCGTTAACAACATCTAGGAACCGAACCGTTAACAATTAATGCCTCATTTGTAGGAACCGAACCGAAGCGGGTTATAACGGTTCGGTTCCCGGTTCCGATAAAAAATATGTGCATGGAACCTTTAAGGAACCGTTATTAAAAAAATAAAAAATAAAATAATATTAGTATTAGTAGTAGTAACAATAACAATAATAATATAATAGCAATAATAACCACCACCACAACAACAATAATAAAATAATATAAGATATTTAACTAACAATTCTAATTTAATCAACAGAAAAGAAGTAATAAATATTGTACATGAGGTTGATATATACATTAAGCTCCTTTTTACAAATCAAGTTTTGTTCCATCACATAAATTTTATAAATATAAAATAACCCAAATAACTTGTAGTTGATTGCACATATTTTACTTTACTATTTTTTATAATGTTTCTAATTATTAGATTTATTATGAATCAATAGAATGTGATAATATTTTTTTATATCTACACATGCAAACTCAATATCTTTTTTTTTAATGTTTTGAAAGACTTGAAGTAGACGTCCTAATCTTGCTACTATGATGACGAGTAACCTTCATCGCTCCGACACTACAACGATTTTTAATGTTTCATTTATTACACAAAAGTTTAAATCACTTTTGTTCTATTAAGTGTTCAAAGTTCATTAGTTAAGTTTGAGCTTTAATGTTTGAAGTAATTAGAGCTTCAAATAAAATTTTAATACTCGTGTTTTGAATTTTCGATGTGTTTAAAATTATGTGTTAATTCTTAGACAAGAAAAAATTATTCTAGGAACCGGTAAAAGAGAGAACCGAACCGTTTACTACCGGTTCGGTTCCATAACGGTTCCTGATTCTTTATATAGGAACCGAACCGATTTCATTAGTTAAAACTTTTATAACGATTCCACTCATTTTGAGTAAGAACCGAACCGGTCCCAGCCCTAGTGTGAATAAAGTAAGAATGAATTCTAACCACTCAAATATTACCTAATAAGGTATGAGACAAATTTAATGGGACAGACGGAAAAGGTAAAATGGGACAAACATAGGGGGACGGACAGAGTAATATAATTTGTTATTCATTAAATGTCAAACATGCCCTTTACCGATTTGACCAATGTGTGTGGTATAAACGTGAAGTATTTTAAGTTACTACTATGTACTATAAATAACATAGACTCACGACTCAATTTCATTTTTTTAACTAAAAAAAAATATCTTTGAATATTTTTCAAAGAAATTGTTCTATATAGAGTAAAAATAATGTTAAAATTATAAAATAGAAATGTCATAAATAAGAATAATTACCATCATGTTTAGAGAATGTAGACAATTATGACAATAGTATTGTGATATTAATGTGTGATAGTTTCAAACTATGATAATATTATTTCAGGATTAATGCACTTCTATTTATCGTAAAAACAACATAAAATTACAATTATAGAACTTCAAATTATTTCCTACTTTCGTTTGAGTTTTTTTTTTCTCATGTGAAATTTTGTAGCTGTGGGAATGTTTGTTCTTGTCGCGGAGAAGTTATTTGTCTATGAAAACACAACTTGATGACATAGGAGTTTTTTTTTTTCAAAAATATTATTAAAATGAATTTTATTTACATAAATGTGACTAATGGTCACTACTACATTGGTCTCATTTTATTTCGTTTGAACTGGCATAGTTATTAATCAAATGATCAGAAAAGTAAAAGTAAAATGTTGTGAGCTACATATTTCTTTCTGAAAAAAGAAAATGTGACACTTATTTTGAAACAACCCACAACAAAAAGTAAGACAGGTGAAATGAGACAGAGTGAGTACAATATATTCACTATCATATAAGTTTAACATTTGAACATAAATTACTATGATTAAGTTATTACTGTAGTTTACTCTTTGTGCTTTAGTACAGGGATAAGACTGTTTACATCCGTTTCCTCATACCCCACCGTAGATGGGAGCCTTTGCGGAACTGGGATAATGATGATGATGGACTATAAATATGTAATTATTTCATGAAATAATTCTCGCTGTGTCTCCCTCAGTAGCCTCAGTTTAATAATTTTTTGTTTGAGTTTAATAATTGTTCTTTAGTTTGAATTTACTATTTGATGATTCCACAAGTTCGACAATTAAATACTAACCTCAATAAATGCAATTATGCAGGCACATGACTTGTAAAAAACAATATGCTATACTTGTTTCTTAAAATTCATCCTAACTTAAAAGTATTGTGACTAACATTCATTTACATTTTTTTACTTAATCACAATCATGTATTCTCACTTTTTTAAAATATCACACTTTGAGAAACAAAATGGATATGATTTCACCCTTTATTATCAAACCCACGGAAACCAAAACACCATCAAACCAACCTCAACTATAACACGAATAAATGAGGAGCCAAACAATAAATAGCTTTTCCAGAACTGAATCCTGACAAAAATAGCTATGCTATTACAACAAAAAAAGTGATCTAACACCACCTATCCAAATCTAACGCCAGAAATGATTAATTCGAAAAAAAAAACAAATTCATCATATTCTTAGCAAATATGTAAAAATTGAACTGGATAAACCAAGTAGTAGCATAGCACCCAGCATAACATCAAATGTCAAGTTCAATAACCCCTTAAAGCCCTCAAAGAACAATCACTCATCTATCCCTCTGTTTTAGTCACACCGCCACTCCCACTATTGCTTTGCTTAGCAACATATATCTGTTTCACTCTTGTAGTAGAAGAAAAACCCCTATCTCCACCATTAAAAGTCTGGTTTCTACCACCATGGAAACCCGTTCTTCGATAGGACCACTCATTATTCCTTTGGGGAATCCCATTCCCCCTGCCATGGTAATAACCATTATAACCACCACTAGAATGGCTCTGATGATGATGTAAAGATGGATTCCTGTGTTGTCGGGGCATTTGATGAGAACTGAACCCAGCATTTGTAGTAGTAGCTGTGGTTTGTTCAACTCTATTATTGTTGTTATTATCACTCTTCCCAACTATATCTCTGGTGGTACTTGCTCCAGCATTCTCTGAAGATTGGCCACCAAGACGATCCATGAACTGGGCTGTTGGGCTATTATTATTTTTGTTGCTATTATTACAATTATTATTAACTGATGATGGAGCAGGAAATTTCTTGGGACAATTCTCAGGTGCTGTTGTTGACGCAAGAGAATCAGGCGGGAACCTACTGCTGACGACGTTCAATGATTGGTCAGCGGAGTGTCTTCCTTGGTCAAACGGGGCAGCTTCTGGTTGTTGTTGTTGATGCTGCAGAGGTGGCAGAGAGATAGCAGCGGAGTGAAGAGCTGCTGTGTGCATGCTAGACCAATGCTGCATGTCTGGCGGTGGTGGCTGAGACAAATGGTTTAAAAGAGTAAAAGCAAAAACATCAATGAAGACTGTTTTTAAGGAATCAATGAAGACTGTTAAAAGCAAGCAGTGTGTTAGAACATTAGGTTCCTTCCTTCACTGCATATATTTACATACATACATACAACATATAAGTATATGAATATGACCCCCTCGGTCCCATTTCTACTTTCTCGCTTGCCTCTTCGAAGTCACATATCAAGGTTCTCATTTGATTTTAAAAAAAACAACACTCTTAAAATAACAAATTTATTATTAAACATTAAAATTAACAAATGCATAACAACACAATTATCATCAATTACCCAATTATATTATACGGAGTATTATATAACACTAGAACTACTTCAAACAGGGTGGATTAGTATTAGTATGTTTGTGTGTGTATCCACGCATGCGCAGGCACACATATACAACAGACACAACTGTGTGTGTGTGTTGTATTTACATGTGTGTAAAAAGAAAAGATCAACATATATATGATCATGTAACATTTTGATCACTTTTGCTTGTTTTTAAAAACGTTATATTTCCTTTCATCCAAGTGCTCTAGTCATTCAAGGGCAACTCAGAAAATACTCCTGTGACGAACAGCAAATGTATTTATTTTTGAAAGACTCCACTAAAGTTAAATCAACATAGAGCAGCTACTTGCCAAATAACAGAGAATGTAAAGAAGGCATAGTAAGGTACTAAGTTGTACTGGATTTACCTGAAAAGGAGAAACATCAAACATAGCCAAGGGAGAAGCCATAGGGATAAGAGGTGACCCAGGAGCAAGATGTTGTTGAACAGGTGCTGACGATGCATTTCTCTGTGTGGAACTTATGATATTCATATCTCCTTCATTCATCCCCCCCACCATAGTGGAGTTTGGGTTGTGCTGCTTGCCAGAAGAGGCAATATAAGTGGTGCCCATAAAACTCAAACCTACCTGCCCGAATTGCCCAAACGGTGCAAAATGATTATAGACCACCATATGGGGAGGAGGACCTTGAACCCCAGGGATTCTTCCAGTTGGGCTATATAATGGGCCCGTGAACCCTGATGGGGGGGCATAGAATGAATCCATGGAGGAATGACACTGTTGCCATGCACTAAGAGGCCCTGAACCTGTGCCAGTACTCTTCTGGGGTTGAGTTTGGGAAACAGTTGATTCTTCGTGAGGCCCAAAGGAAAAAATAGGACCACCCAAGACAGGATTCATCTCATAGATAGGGATGTGAGAAGGCGGTGGTCCTCCAGGAAAATGGGAAAGCATCTGGCCTGAAGGATTCTGAGGGTCGGATACACGTGGCCATAAAGATATTGGATGGTTTTCAACAGAAAGATCTGCAGGAAGAGATACTGATAGTGGTTCTTCAACCCTTGATTGACTTCCCAATTGCCGACCTCCTGGAATAAGAAACATAAACTTTAATGATGATTAGTACAATAAAATTGCATGAAATGGTTAAAAATGGTTAATTACATTTCCCTTCAAGGATTGGTCAAACTACCAAATGATAAATCAGGTTTATTAAAATAACAAATACACCACTTGATGGGCTTAATATTCCATTAGTGACCTTAAAAGATGATACTCTGTAAAACAATACAGTGTTAGATGGAATTGAGTATTACCCACGACTAAATTACTCATAAATATTTGTCCCCATTTTTAAAAACAACGTAAATATAATATTCAAAAGGATGTAGTAAAGAACAATCCAAAATTATATTAATTCCTGCTAATGCCACAATTTCTTATCATGCTTTGGTATCAAGGTTCCATTCAGGAAAAAAGTTGACTGGCAGAAGGTTCCACTTGTAATTTATAAAAATATATCGGGCCCCATTGTAATGTGATCAACCTCAAGGGAGGTAAATGTAACTACCCCCAAGAGGAAAAGGAAAAGAAAGACGAATTCAATCAATATCCCAAACCTTCAAAGATTTTTTTAGCTTCTGAAGCTGTTACAGAACCAAGTCCATTCTCCCCACCTTCATCATTAGTGATGGCTGCAACAGCAACGGCAGATGCGGCTGCCTCAGCTTCTGCCTCAGAATCTTGTAAGCTCACAGAGCAGTCATTTGGGAGTTTGTCAAAGAGAGAACAATCATTCTTAGTTGCAGAAAGATTGTGGGAGATTTGTACATCAGAAGGCCGCTTGGAACCTGGAGCTCCGATCCCATGTGAAACAACACGGGTACTAACAGGGAGAATTGTTGGGGATGTAACAGCACCTGGCAAATGACAATTAATCAAACCATATGTTAGAAGATATTATCTTTAATGCTCCATGTGAGTTGAGTTGAGATTCAACTCGGTTACGGTTAACATTAATCATAACCTAAATTAGGAGAAAGTTTAGAAAAAATATTTAGATAATATAGTTCTATCTAGTGAATGTTGAACCTTGTCTGGGTTGAAGTCAATTATTATTAAAAATATAAGATACAACCCCTGAGTTTGGGTGAAAGAAAAATAGGGAGAATCGAGATGATTGATTTATACCAGTTAACTTAGGGTAATGGTATCAATAAAATCCTTAAAAGAAGTGAATCGTATAACTTACTTACCTAAATCACTAAATTCATCTAGGTTCACCTTAATGCAAATGGAGCAGTTAGTGGCAGAAATATCTCTACAGTTAATAAAAACATTTACCAAATTGGATTTTCTCTCCAGCAAGCAGAGAGTTAATTGGACTTGTTGTCAGCAAAAAGGAAGACTTGTCATTGGCCATCATAATTGATGATGATGATGGTAAGGCAGGCTCGCTAACTGAACTACTAATATGACTCCCCGAAGTAGAACAAGAATCTTGCGTCTCAAATTTCACTGGCTTCATAGCCTCCTCAAGCTGGCTCTGTGTCAATGTTAAAACCTATCCATGAGTAAGTGAGAGAATCTTTTAAACAGTTAGTAAATTAAACAGCATAATGAAAGCAATTGATTCATTAAGTGGGATACTGAGCTAAAACAAAAAACGCTAACTAGTACTGGTACTCGATATACGCTTTTAAGGTACACACTTAACAATAATTTAAGTTAGAATAAGGTGCAACTTTTTAAGGTACTCGTGCTGTACAGTTCATAGTGAAAACAATAGGTTCATTGACGTACTAGTACTAGTACTAGTACTATATACGTCTGAAAAGAGGTAATCTTAGAACAAGGTGCAAGTGGGCAACTTTCTTTTTTAATAAACTTAATCAGATTTTACAAGTAATGAAGGTCACTTGTATACCAATAAAACTTAATTCCCAGAATGATCGAAGTAGTTTCTTAAACCATTAGAGCTACTTGGGGCTCCATTTTATTGGATTATTAAAAAGGGCTCTTTTATTAGAGGGAGTACATGTCTCAATAGACTGAATTTGGCATCAGCACGTAGAAAGCAGCAACGTTCAAACTGCAGTAGGTCAGACATTTTAAACAAATATCTTTTCCAGTAATATGATGGATTTAGTTTTTGTACTAACTTGTTGGTTCACACATGGAGTGCACCAGGACTTCGAAGACATTGACATAACAGCACCTTCACATTTGTTTCCCTCAAACATCAAGCTCATTCCATCGCTTCCACTACCAGATACGACAGTAGCAGGGGGGGCTTTAAGAGATCTGGTAAATATGAGAAAATAAGAGTTTTAAAACCCATAAATGAGTATCATATAATTTATAAATAACAGTTAGGGTGTGTTTGGTTTGATTCTATGAGAGGAGGGAAATGACAATTCTCACGTCCTATCATTTGGTTAAGAAATTTTGCAAGAGAGAGGTCTATGATCTCCCTCCCCATATTTTCCTCTGCTTCATATTTGGGGGAGGGGGTCTTGAAAAGGGAATCTAAATCCCACCCGAGTCCAACACAACCATACAAAGAAGAAGAAGAAGCACTCCCTTCTCCTCCATAACTTTCCCTCTGCCAACCTCCCATTCCTTGAACCATACACACCCTTAATGCCTCATAACAGAATTAATACAGAAAATGCATACTTGTTTGATCTGATATCTGATTCAGTTCCAGCATCTATGGCAGGAGTACAAATTTGAGCGATTGGCGGCACGAGATTGGCAGAACAACTTATGGCTTCAGGCTTGTTGGTTGAACCTTGGCCCTCAGTCGTAGCAAAGGCAGAGTGTGTTTTCAAGGAAATATGTACGGATGACTTATTTAAGCTGGTTGAAGCTGCATTGTTTTGTCTGGCAATGTGAGGTTTACGCGGTTGCTGTGTCAAACAAGATAAATTAATAAACATAGTCAGTTAGCTGAAAAATGGGACTAAAAAACGACTAGACATTAAACTTTAACATGAAGGAGCTGAAATATTATATGCATCATTAGAACCTTTAAGGCCCGAGATTTTGCTTTTATTTCTCTCTCTCTCTGTTCCCGGCGGTCATTCAGCATTTGCCTTTTAGACCTCACTTGAATAAAGTCATCTTCATCACTAGGGGCTTCAATACCAGGTTGTTTAAAAACTCGTACAACTCCACTCTGCAATGGAGCATCAACATCTTCCTCATATATGTTATTCCTCTTCAAATTTCCCTCCCGAATATTAGAAAGACCACTCTGCCTCTTAATAACATGATCCTTCATAGTAGCAATATTTTGAGAACCATTGCTTCCCTGACTAGACTTTTCAGCTTCTACAGTGTGTTTCATGGATTTATTAGGCATCGAACCTCTCTTAGATCCACTTCTTGTAAAAAACCCTCCATACTTTCCACCGTATGCTGCCTTATCATCAAAACTAGTATCATTAACTGGGAGAGCACCAGAAAACTGTCTCTTATCAGCATTCTCCCGAACTCGAAATTCTGTCCGTTGGACTGTCCGCCGTGGTCTCCTTTGAAACCCATTAAAATCTGAGAAAAAAGTCTCAAAAGCATTAGAAGTTGACCTAGCACTGTTATTTTTAACAGCATAAGTGAACCTCTTACCCTTTGTGCCAGAGAATGAACCTTGAGACTTAAATCCACCAGAAATCACCCGACTTACAGTCGATACATTCTGCCGCTTGGATGATTCCAGATTACTCTGAATATCTACACTATCCTGTTCCTTGGTCTCAGTATGACCAGAAACCTCGGAGTTGATCACAAGTGTCTGAGCATTGTTCCCTGCAGCTCTTACCGATGATGAATCTAGTTCTGAATCATCTCTGTGAGACTGCCCACGGTAACCTCCATTACATTGATTCACATTATATTTATTGCTTTGTAGCTTTGGCTGAATGAAAGACACTGGTAGAGCTGTCCCTGGCAACATTCCTTGGGAGATAGGAGGTGAATACCTGAACTGGCCAAACTGGAAAAAAGAAGGTTGTGATGGATGCATATGCGCAAGGGATGTGCCAACCGGTGGATGCAAGTGAAGAGGCATCTGTATAGAACCAATCTGAATTGCAGGCACAGGAGATGGTATCAATGTTGGCCCAGAAAATAGTCCAAACTGAAGTTTAGTGGATAAATCTGCTTGACTTGCGGCAGAAGAAAGTGCACCACTAGGAGCATCAACACCATCTAAAATATTAGATGTGTTTGAAGTGTGTGGAACAATAGCAGGCCCCTTTACAGCTTCCTGCACTGCCCTTTCATTTTCACAACCAGAACTTGACTGCGACGAACCTTCTGCAGCAGGTTGATAACACTTATCATCAACTTGGACACAATTTATAGCTCCCTGTTCTTCAGGGATACTATTATGAACATAAGTGTCATCTCTGTCAAATATACTCTCATCATTTCTTAAATTCCTCTCGAAATCATCACTAGGTATGGCCACTTCAACTCCCTCATTGAAGCCTAAAACCAAATTGTGTGAATTAGGTGATGAAACCCTGTCTCCCAGGTGCATGCCTTCCAAATCTTGGTTTAGGTCAACGTTATAGTCATCTTCATTGAGAAGTTCATCATCTCCTTCCCTGTAACCGTCTTCCTCATCGTCATACTCCTCTTGCCGTGGCAAATCATCATTGTTTTCAACAGTCCATTCTTCATCCTCGGCAATGGAAATAGAGCTTGAAGCTGTTCTCATCACATCTTTTCTGGAAACATCTTTCATGAAGGGCTTAGTTCCAGAGAATGTGACGTTTTGCCCCCCTGCTGCAGCAGATACAACAGGAGAATCACCAGATTCATCCAGCTCATCATTAGAGAGATGAGGTGGAGAATTTGGAGGACTTGTAACTGATAGTGAGGATTGTGAATCGCATCTCGAGCCCATATCTTTTACCAACTTCTCTTCTCTGGAAGAGCTGTTTTGCTGCAGATCAACAGCTAGTGACGTGCCACTTCTTTCAAGATGGTTGCCATCACTTTCAGTAGGTTCCACGTTTTTATTACTGCCTGCAAATTCTGAAGCCACAGCAATTTCATTTTCACCCCTGAATGAATGCCTCTGAAAAGTTGAAACGGTGGGAGGGGGGAGCACACGTGGCTGCCTCATCGAATATCTTGACTTACCATAAGAGAAATGATCATCGGTTTCAGAATTATGGTATGATGATTGGCCTGGAAAAGGGAAACGAGAATTGCCACCACGAGAACTGCCCTGCCTCCATCCAATATCATTATACTTTTCCTCTAAATTATCATGAAATTCTGAAAAGTTCCACCTATCTTCTTCTTTTGGCTCTCCAAATTCATCCACAAAAGCTTCTTGCATCGCATCTTTCATAATGAGAGTCCTAGAAGACATGTAACTACTCCCTCCATAAAACTCCTTCTGAGGAGCTAATCTGACCCCCCTACCAGATGCATCTCTTCGTGGACTGAGGTGACCAGAATCATGTTCAAAACGTGAGCCACTACCAGTCCCAAACACATCCCTTCTCCATGAATTAATAGGTTTTCCAGCATCAGCGAAATCGGAAAAACTGTCTCTTGAATTATAAGGCCTCAAACCCATCTCAGCAGATCCGCTCAGAACAGGTGCCTCAGGATATATAGAAGTTGTTAGCCGTTCCACCATCCTTTCACTCTCATCCCAGTTATCTGGATCTGAAGCCTCATTTTCCTTCACAGCAACAGATGGTTTTTCGTCTGGAATGGTGGTCGGAATTGAAGGGTCACATTTTCCTCTATCGGCCTCTCTTTTTGCAATCCTAGCCTCCAACTCTAGAAGCTTCTGTTTAGCAGCCTGTTTTCTCCTCTCTTCCTCTAGGAAAAGCCTCCTCCTCTCCTCTTCTCTAGCAGCCTTCTGCTCATCGGCTCTTCTAATAGCCTCCAGTTGCTCTTGCTCTGCCCTCCAGGCAGCTTCTCGGGCTTCTTCTTCCAACCTTCTATGCCGTTCTTCTTCCTCCCTAACTAGCCGTTGTCTTTCTTCTTCCTCCTTCTGAGCTTGTTCCAAGGCTCTTTCTTGTTCTTCTATGATTCGCTGCCGTTCAAGCTCTTGCATCTTCTGAACTCTTTCAAGTTCGGCCTCAAATGACTCCCTGACAGGGTCGTGGAAATCAGTCTGCTTAACTACATCCTTTTTCCTTTTGATGACCCCGACAAGACCCCCTGACAGGATGTCCCTTTCATCAAATCCTGCAGACCCGAAGTCCTCAATATATGGTTTTTCATGTCTTGAAAATGCAGACTTATCACGCCCATGATTGGGTACAGGGACAGATACAGCAACAGATTTACCAGGTGAAGTAAATGAAGGCGTGTGTCCATTACTGTTTTGGTAGCCAAATCTGTTAGATCGGTCAATGCCTCGACTGTTATATGAGACTCTATCATTGCTCCAATGCTTATGCACATCTGATGAATGAATTGCTTCCTTGGTTCCAAATGTGGAGTCACGGTTTGCTGTTTCTCCTAACTGTGGTGGAAAATACTTACCCTCTTTCCCCGTATCCTTGTTAAGTGCAAATACTCTCGAGCTAACCGCATTTCTGATGTTTACAGCTTCCGAAACATTCCCAACTCTCGGGAGAGGTGAGGATTTCCACATGTTTCCGTCCCTGCTTTCTGTTCTCGAGTCCCTATGATAAGTATCCCCTCCTCTAATGACTTCACTGGAAACAACAATTCCAGTTTCATTGTCTCTTTGACCACCCCACCTTTCATACTGATTAACATTAGGTAGTTTATGTGGTAAAACGCTAGTTCTGGGCATGTCAAAATCACTGCTCCAGTAATTTTCACTTTTCACCATTCTTGATTCTCTACTGCTCCTGTCGACAAAACCATGGCCAGTGTCACGCTCATCATCAGCCCAATCAGACCTCGGATTCAGTCGAACTAACGGCAGTGGACCTGTGAAGTACTCTTCTTGTTTCCATGAATGGTCAGATCGGCTTGGACAGTCCAGATCATGGCCACCAACACCATTCTCCACCGGTCTATTCTCAATTGATTGGCGGGCAGCAAGACCATGAGGGCGCATATCAAGTGAACCAGAACTGTGATTTGCCTGATTGGAGTATTCCTCGTCTACTTTTTGCTTTTGATTGGAACTGTCTTTCTGTTTGTGAGAAGGGACCGAAGGGACAGGCAAAGCAGCCTTCAGAGAAGGGAAATCCTCACCCCACAAAACGCTGGCTTTCTCTGCTGCCAGGGGTAAATGTTTGGTAGAAACAGCAAGTGAAGATCCAATTCCACCAGAACGAGCTGAAGGTGGCATATAAGCACCACTTTCATGATAATTCGTGCCTTCAACTACTTGAGTATCACCATCCTTCCCCTGTAACCCAATAGCAGGAGCGGGTTTTGTCCAGCCCACGCCAGAAGAAGTTTTTGTCCCACCGCCAGATCCACCAACACTGGTTGCCCCACTACCTGGTCCAGATACATCAAATTTCTGGTGTTCTTTCCTCAATGACGGCAAATTCAGGGGGGGTGGAACAGATAATTTAGGTCCAACCTTCTGTGAACTCTTGGGCCGTGACAAAACAACCATTCCTCCCCCTCCTCCTCCGCCACTACCTGGCCGACCACCTCGACTGCTTGCAGCCTGACCATAAGACCCACTATAAGATTGATTAGCACGCTGATAAGGCTGTCCATAAGATTTATTCAGATTCACAGATACAAACTTGGTCCCGGCACCGCCAGAATTGGCCATCTCAGAGCCAGACACGAATTTCTAATTGGCCTAACTGATCCGAAGCGACGGCAGCGCATCAAATAGCAGTTAACTCGAGATTCCCCCGTGCGTCCCAAGAACAAATCTTTAACGAATTCACTCGCCGATAGATCGTACAGCAAGCAGCAAAAACCTAGCAAAACACTGCCCCGGCTTAATCAACAATCAAACAGAATGCGTCTATAACGATCAACAAATCGGAAAGTGAGAGACATAAATTCCCAAACTTGTGCCTTGATTTGGGGTCAGGTACGTTTCCGGGGGAGAAATATCAAAGAATATTGGAGATACGGCGTATGATAAGGAGCTTACCTCTGACGGCGGCGTAAGATAGATCACAGCAGTGCACCGTGAACAGAAGGAAAAGTACAGGACTGGCGTCGGAGAAGAAGCCCTACTTTACTGGTCAGACGGCCCTTTTATTAAAAAAACAAAACGCAGCTGCGAGAGAGAGAGGGAGAAACCGTCTAGTTTTAGGACTGATAATAAAATCTTTCTCATTTCAGTTTTGTCCCCCCATATTTATATCATATTCACATTTTTATCTGATTTTAATACTTCGTATTTAATTTGTGTACGGAGTTCTCAAAAAATAGACACCAGGTGTATTGCTGTAAGCATTTGGACGTCTTCATAATAGCAAAAAAAAAAACTTATTTGTATTGATAGTGAAGAACAACCACACTTGAAAAGATGAAATTCAAATGAAAAAAATACTCTAGTTAAGAATAAATCATTATCAACAAAAATAAGATCTACAAAAGATTGTTGATTCTTCGACCGAAATAATAAAATATTCTAGTAAAATGAGAAATAATTTATGGTGAATTTTACCTCGAGAAGATAAAAGTAACATTTTTTAGGATGATAATCGATATCACCCTCATTTCCCTGTATGTGTGAAGTCCTCCTATAAGTGCATTCCAACCGTTAATTTAGTGTTAATAAACGTGAAACTTTGGGCGAGAGTGGAAGTGTGGCCTTCAGGATCTCGCACTCCATCTTGCTATGTTGTTGTGGTCCGCATGCCAAGCTGCTGTCCAGCCTCCGAATCCATGTAAACCTGAAAAGTGGACGAACGATGCATCTAAGAATGTAGTGGGCTCCATGTCTTGTTTTAGGTAGTGGAGATTGTTGGTACTTGGTAGGGGTATTATCCAACTAGAGTGTTCTTCATCTTTGGTTATGTAATTTGTCTTGTGTTTTGGCAGTTACTTCCCCGAGCACTGACGCTTCGGGTTGTTTTGTGTCCCTTGATGTAAGGAATTTGTTGTGGTATCCCGGCCAGCTTCGTCTAGTCAAGGATTTCTGCCTGCTTTCTATTGGATTGCATAGATAGTGGTAGAGTCCGTCCTTCTCCAGAACCACCTCTGTGTCGAGAAGACTTTTGTGGAAAGACTTTATTTAACTTTTGTTTTTCCTTTAGTAGTATTTATTTTTTATTTTACTTCACGTGATTTGGTTTGGATAGGATTTCTAAAGTACTTTTGATCGATAATGTTTCAGTTCCGATTATTTTAGGCTTAAATTTGTATATTTTGTGTATAGCAAATCAGGTTGCTATGTGTGAAGTGGTTGCTTCTATTTCTATTTCTAGAGCTTATAATCGGCTCTGGCATAATTGACTGGAGGTTGTTTTGTATGATTTCTTGGTATTATAATAAAAAACGATTCTTATATATATATATATATATATATATATTTGAAGAAACCCGCTCTTTTATATTAAAAAACAATTAAACAATTGTTGAAAATAAGCCGTTCAAAAGGTTCATATACTCCGTATAAATTATTGTTGAAATTGCTCATAGAATGTTGAAGGGGTGGACTCCAAGACTTGCACAGCTCTACTAATGAGTGACAAATTGTACATTAAACCGTTCACAACAAATGAATTGCCATTATTTATTTATAAATTTTAATATTTTATCAAATGTGTTTAGTGCTGCAATTGCTCAGTGAATGTGAAGGTCAATATCCCAGACTAACACATCAAATAGAAAGACATCATTTTGATATTGTGGAATGTAGTGAGAGTCAAACATCGAGCAGAGAAGTGAGAAAAATTGTTGAAGTAGAAAAATGATCACATTAAATGAAGGGTGTGTTCCATTTATTTATTTATTTGCAAACTTTCTTTAAAATCATTGTAAGTATCTCAAAACTTCTCGATTTTGTGACTATTTAGTGACTATTTATTTAACCATGTGGTTGTTTGCTTTTTTGAGTTACTGTAGTTGATTTTCTTGTTGTTGTCTAAGTAGAACTGACATGCAAATATGCAATGGGGGCACATAAAGCGGAATTGAACACAGGGTATGAAAAAAATTAGTTGCATATACAATTTTTTATTAATATTAAAAATTATGGGATGCACATACAAATATTGAAAATTACAAGGACTTATTTGAAAATATATACATATATTATCTTGTGCCCTTAATGTGAGTAACGAGTAAAATGCATAAACAGTACCATAACTACTGGTAATGATGCATTTTAGTATCTTAACTCTTTAATGAAGCAAATCGGTACCTCAACTACATTTAAATGTTGCAACCGGCGGTACCATTCAATATTCCGACCAAAAAATGCCACTTGTCCACTGGAATTCCACGTGTATATCATAGTCATCGTTTTTTCCACATCATATTATCCACGTCACACGTGAAGTGCTACTTACTGTCAAACCATTCCCACCCGACCACAACACTCATTCATTATTATAGGGAAAAGAAGGATACAAATACATTCCCTTTCGGTACATAATGTTTACTAATTCATTACCTCAAACATATTATACAGGGTATCCCAAGCTGGTCTTTTACGCCATAAATCTGTAGTATATTATGTATTTTTCACACCATATTAAATATGTTTGCTATATATATTTTTGCTAAAAAGGTAAAAAAAAAATATTTCACGCTGCTTAGTCTAAAATTCAAACAATTGAAATTTCAACATTTTTTTTACTTTATATATATATATATATATATATATATATATATATATATATATATAGAATAGAGATCAAATACAAACCATGCTTAATTTACAAAGTACAAACTTATCTTGGTCATCCGATGAGTTGATCTAAAGGATATAAAGGCAAGGTGACATTTTTGTAATAAAACCTAACTTTTCTAGGGTGCAACTCATTAAACATTAATGTGCAACTGCTATTTTATGACTATATAATATGCAATACTTTGAACCTCAATATGCAATGCAAATAACATCAAGGTGCATCGTACAAATATTTGCACAATAAACACGCTTTGTACTTGATCTTTCCCATATATATATATACTAGATTCTTTACCCGTGCGTTGCACGGGATATCTAGTTTATATGTCGAACTATTTTATTAGTTGGCGGTGAAAATTAGTAAAATAGTTCGACCAACTTGGATTTATAGACATCTTTGAAGAGTTTGTGATGACTTCATAGCTAATAGCACAAAGTAAATTATTCATAGTGCAATTTAAGAGTATCACATTTTCTTGATATGAGTAGAAAAAGTTAATCAGTTTGCTCTTATCTATTTAATTCCGATTTTATCTAATATGATCTTTTCTCATAAACGGTTGACTTATATATTTTATTTTTTTGATCGTATCAAGCATGTTCCATTTAAATTTGATTTGATATGAACTAATTTTTTTTTAAGTCAGGTCAAGTCTATGCTGAAATTGGAAACATTTCGATTAACATATCATACATATTCTAATATGCCTTGAACAAAACCCCAATGATATATCACAATTATTATTATTATTATTATTACTATTATTATTCTTATTCTTAAATGAAAAATATTCAATTATTGTATTACAATTACTGATATAACTAGTTTTTTCACCCGTGCGTTGCACGGGTGTAAAATTATTTTGTGTGGTAGTAATTTAATTACATTTTGATATGAATGCATAAAATTTGCCTTTTGAATTATAAAGTTCTCATTTTAAGATAAAATAAAATGTAACATTACAAATCGGTAACACCTCTTTAAATCACCTTTAATGTGAAAATTGAATGATTACCGCTATCGTCACATGTAAGAAATTTTTAGTCATCTTGTGTCTAGATATAATGACGTAATGCTACCCCATGACTAAAACCCATCGTCGTAAGAATATTTCCACATTTTAAAATGACTGACCCTGACTCTTATTGATCATCATCACATAGCAACCCTACCCATTAGGTGCGGGTTCGTACATATTTAACCCATGAATATTTTTTAAAATTAAATACCCGATTAAAAATGGCCAAGTAGGTTTGGATCGGACGGGTTATGCGGGTTCGGGTTATTCTTGTGCAGCCCTAGTACACCCACTTTTAATTTGAACATCTGATTCAATTAAGGAGTTCTGGAGAGTGAATCTCCTGCAACAAACTACTAAGTAAATTATACGTAGATTCAATATATATTACTCTGATTTATTTGAATTAGTTTAATTTGAATTCTAATTTCTAACATTAAATTGATTGGACTTAACACAATTGAGTTGTTTTAATTACTTTTATTGGATGTAGTATCTATCAAAAGTGCATTAAAACATTTAAGGGATAAGTGTTAGATATTCCTTGACAGCACAAATTTGAATCCAGCAACACAACTTAATATCAGTATCATACTATATTTGTTCACATAAAATGGTTTTCCAATAATATACCTCAGAAAGTCATGGTTATCTAATAATATAACTCAGAAAGTCAGGACACTGCACAATGTTTATGATTATCATAAACATACTTATCTATTTCATAACTTCATCTTGTCATTTGATTTAGAAAAGAAAAACAAAAATATGTAAATCCAGGTGAAACTGTGAAAGGTTAAAAACAAAATATTGAGAATGAGATGTATCACAACTGAATGAAAATCTTTAACTTCATCTTAGAGACACAGTTGCTAGCTTAGATAGCATAAAATTTTCTCATATTTATCGATCAAGTAATCGAGTTGCTCACTATTTGTCTAGACAACTGTTTCAATGCGTAATTGTCAAGTTTGGTTTAGTCATCCTCCTTTGTTTGTAATTTCGAACTTGAAGTTTGATATAATGAATATGTAGCTGTCTTTCTTTAAAAAAAAATAGAGAAATTACAAAGTCCGAGCTATCAATCTCATCTTCGGGCAGACGCTTACACAATGGATGTGGATGGAGTACTCCCAACACTCTCATTGTTCACATAGTAGGTGTCTGAAATTACATCACAATGACTAATTCATGTTTATCAACTTATATGCACTTATGTAAATCAGTGTTGCCATACAATTAAGTTGGTCACGTAACTATATCTGATAAAAAAAACTTTACATTAATCTCCGATTTGGGTATTGTACATCATAAGAAGTAAAACTGAATGGATACACTCACATGAACTCTAAGTACATTGTAGGAAGCTCGCTCGCAGAATGTGCTTTGCGTGAAATTTAGGCCCATTGTAGTCAGGTCAAGTCTATGCTGAAATTGGA